TCGAGAAAACGGTAAATTTTTGGCAATTTAACAAAAACCAACAAAGCAGAATTAAGTGATTTTGAATTTTAAGCTTTCGCCAAAACAGCTCTCAAAGTCTGAACATTCTTTGTTTTTGATAAACGGTGTCTCTGAAAAGCGACTAACCTGCAATCTCAGTGAGGTGTTCAGGGACACACGTCCTCCATTTGTTCATGAGGTATTCCAGGTGCTCTTTGTTCCAACAGTAAATCTGAAACGAGCAGGTTGCTTCAAACCGAGGCGCAGTGACACGTTCTGTTATTTTCAATCTATTTTATTTCATATTAGTTTAATTGTTTTGTGATACATCGAGTTCATGTTTGTTGATTTTCTGTGTCTGTTTTTTAAAATCGTTTGTTGCCCCTGGTTGTTTGTTTGTTTTTTATCTACATCTCAGTGGTTTTGGTGGTTTTTCAGCCTGGAATGCAGAAATTCATGGTTCTGGAGCCACCGTGTGCTTTAATTCATGGCCTCCGATACGAGTCAACCAGATAATACAGAAAGAAGATTATCTTCACAAATCAGCATATTTAGATTTTTTAAAAATATATATAAATATAAAAAAAAAAAAAGATTAACAAATTAGAAAAATCTAAGATATTTATCAGAGCAAGAAGCTACGAAATCGAAGCTTAAAATCCTGAGACTTCACCAGATTCTGTCTGGAAACACACAATCTGATCTGCAGGCAGAGGAGGCCTGGACACAGCTAGAGGATGTAATGAGTCGAATGTTTGAAGCGTGTAGAGTCGAGATTTAGAAAAAACAATATTGGAATATATTATATTGGTAAAATTAGAAAAAACATCACCTTGTAAACTCTTTTTGATGATTTCTGACTTTATAAAAGGTGACGGGAACTAAAACAAACAGGACTACAGACCTGTGAGAGACGTTTAAAACAGCTGCATGTTCCGTCAACAATGTTCGTCCTCGACTGATTATCGGACTTCTTAGTCTCTGGATGACAGACGGATGCTGCTGGGCGGTGGACCCACCTTCAGGGGTTTGTGTTCGGGGTCTGCAGGTCGGTTAAAGCGATTTTCTGCACCGTCGTAAAAGTATGAACTCTGGAAGGAGTCGATGACCTCACGGCGTTTGCTCGTCGACATCAAAACGCCGCTCGCCTTCGCGGCCTGCGTGGCTCTGATGTCGAGCTGATTTCACATTTCTCCTCTGATTAATCAGCTGCGGTGCAGCCTTTGTTCTCTCGCCGCCATCCTCATGCGATGGAGACGCACAAACACACGAGCGAGGCCTGCGTTTGATTTAGAAGAGCCTAATGTGATTAGGCCTGTTTAGATTTGCACTTCCAGTCGCGGTCGTGCGGAGGCCAGGGGAATGTGGATGGCTCGCGGTGATTAGAAACACAGAGAGATGAACTCGTTTGCTGTTGTGTGTTTGCTGTCAGGCATCATTAAAGTGGGCCGCTGGAAGCCGATGCCCATCCACTACCTGACGGACGCTCCGGAGGCGACGGTGGCCGACATGCTGCTGGACGTTTACCACATGGTGACGCTGAGGATCCTCCTGCACAGGTGGGCGTCCCACAGCCACTCAGCTCTTCATCCACCACGTTTTTACGTAATGTTCACTTTCAAACAGCACGTCATCCAGCTCTGTCATTCTGGACTAAACCCAGCATCACACCTGTCATGTTTATCTTCAAGTAGTTTCTCACTTTATAAAACGTCCAAAGTGCTTCAAAGTGTTTCAGAAGACGTCAGAAGTCACATCTTAGGAGGATGGAATCAACCTGTCTGTTAAACCCAGCGCTTAGCTGATTCATTAGTGGCAGCTTTATGCAGAAGCTCTTTAACCCAAATGATGTTTTTAATGCTAAAATATATCCATTAATTTTAAAATGTACTAGTTCACAAAAAATCACATGAATATTTCTTGATTAAGAGTCAAATTCTAGTTATTTACTTGGATTCCTGAAGAGAAAAGTTAGTTTTAGTGGTTGAATGTTTGATTAACTTCTGACTTCTCAGCCCAGTGATTTGGGATATATTGGATCAGATTTGGGTATAAAAGGTGAATTCACTTTGACTTCCTGTCGAGAGCTGAGTGTGAATTAAACACTTCATGATGCTAGATGGTCTCATGCATTCATTGAACACTGCATATGGATTTATGTGGGCAGACACAGCAGAAGATGTAAAATAATTTAACTTATGAACCGTAAAAGACAAAAGCAATCAGCTCATGTGACCTTTACGACCTCTAATCGCTCAGCTGTGTTTTAGCGAGCGTGGCGGCGGCTGCTCGGTCCTGCAGTGAGTTGTTTGTGTTGTTTGGTGCAGCTTCGCCCGGCTGGAGGAGCTGCCGTCGGAGCAGTGGAGTCACGCCACCGTCAGGAACGCCCTCAAAGAGCTGCTCAGGGAGTCCAACCAGAGCGCGCTGGCCAAGGAGTGTCCGCTGTCGCAGGTAACGGACCGGCAGGGACTGGGCAGGTCTGGACGGGTCGGGAGTCTGTCACCTCCTGATGCAGCTCTGTTCATCTGATGAATCCTGATAAATCCTCACTGTAGGTTCATTCGTTTGCTGCAACATAAAGTCCTGCATCTCTACAGGAGCAGAGTTAGAATCAGAGAGCCCACAGAACACCAGTCGGCAGTCCAGTTTGTTTCCGTCCGTCTCCGTCAGCCTGCAGGTCAGCCGACCAATCCACACGTCTGACTCAGAAAGACGTAAGCCAGAAAGAAAATACAGTTGAACTTCTGGATTTATTTTACCGAAATGGAAAAAAGCCTTAGAATTTGATTCACAAGTTGTTTTTGAATAAACTAGTGTCTCCACAAACTACAGATATTTTACTTTCAAGTAGAAAACGCTGCAGTTCAGCCTAAAGGTCATAGCTTTTTGTGTTTTTACAGAAACACAACTGATATCTGGCAGTTTTGTTTTAACGAGTCTTCTTGAATAAAGATCTTTCTGGTGAAAACCAAACAACAGACCGGATGTGAACAACGAATACCTTCGATTTTAGTCTTAACAGCATCTAAAAGCTAAAAAGTTTCATTTAATCCTGTGAAGCCCAAAAACCAACACTGGGTTTAAACATGTATATATATATTTTTTAAATACCAAATTGACTCCATTTATCGGAGCCAAAAAACTGTAAAATCATAAAGAATGACCAGATTTTTAACTTCCCGTCATTCTTTGATCCAAACATGTGCGATGAGCTTTTCTGTCGGACAAATTAAACAAAGCTTAAAATCGGGATGTTTCACTAAAACCGGTTTGTTCCACGTGTCTGTAAAGTTTACGTGAGCCGAATCCTGTTAAGAAAAATAAAAAGCAGAAGTGATGACTGACTAAAGCGTGTAAAGAGTTTTTAGGTCGAGACAAAGACTGTAGAAACGTAAATAGTAAAATATCTGTAGTCTGTGCAGCCGCTTGTTTTTCCAGTTTTAGAGACAAAACTTTAAAAAAAAAAAGAAAAAGCCACAAAATAAGACATTAAACCTCCTGGAATAGCTACAACTGATGAAAAAAAAATTAAATATCTATATTTAAAGTGACTCAAATGTTCTCCAAAATGGAATAAACATGTCTAAGACAGTTAAAAACGTCCAAAATGACTTAATTTATCCAAAATAACACAAACTTGTCCAAACGATTGACTTTTTTTTTCAAAATGACTGAAACTTTTTTATAAAATGAGTCAAAATTTGGCACAAATCATGTTAAAACCGTGTAGAATGACTCAAAACCTGTAGAGGATCACAAAAACTGACCGTGACATAGAAGTCCAGCCAACCGGATCAATAATAAACGCAGCACGGCTCAGAAACGGTGAGAAGGTCGTTGGAGGTACATCCAGCACGGTGGAATATCTTTCTGGAGATTATTTGTTGAGAGAAAAAGTTTGTAGAGGCTGAAAATGTAGAGATAGTGAAATATCTGTAGTATGAACAGCTGCTTTTTTCAGGATTAGAGACAAAAGTGTCCAAAAAAAAAAAGCCCAAAAATGACACAAACAAGACATGAAATGACACCAATTAGACACAATTAGAACAATGAGACCCAAAACAAGAGAAACAGGAAATAAGACACAAAAGCTGCTGGATGAATAAATGGATGCAGCACAGAACCAGAACCAGTGACCAGAGGAGCCGGTTGTTCAGCATCGTCGCACATCTTTCTAATGATTCATGTGTTTTCTTATATCGTTGCAAAACAAATAATCAAAGAAATTCAACTTTAGTTTTTTCTTTTCGTGTGATTTCTGGCGTCTCTGAGTTCTTCTTCGCGGCTCCGCGGAGCTGCAGGACTTTATGTTGCCGTGAACAATGGACCACAGGGAGGAAAATAAAACTTTAAATATTTTATCTCGTTTCTTGTTGCCGAAGCCGAGTCGACTAACGAACAGACAACGACGACTGGGAGAAGCGAGTCTGAATTGTGGAGCTGAGCGCCGATCTGGGTTTGATTCAGATCGCCGCGATGCTGCAAAGTGTTTTCTCTAAACACATGGTTTCATCATCAGCTCACCGCACACTTAGCGCAGTGTGTAATCTGACTCGCTCACACACACAAATATTGATACCATCCCATGGGAAAGGATGCAAACACGCACACCTCAATTATCCTGCTCACACACACCCTGCAGTCATTAGACTCCAGCGTGTCATTTCGACCCGTGATTTATACACAAGACTTAGTCATGATGTAATTAGTGATTAGGGGAAGTGTGTGGGTGGTGTGCGTTTGCAGCCTGACTCATGTGAGTTTTAATCCTCAGCGTTTCCCATGTTGAGATCGCACTTGTGCATCTCCTGCTCTGCAGAGGTGACCACAGGGCACATTAGGAAAGAGTGGGTGAGCTGTAATGCATCGGAGGCGCTGCCACTCCCAAGACGAGCCGCCTCCAACTCTGCCCTGAAAAATGTCAGACAGTAATGATGGCTCTTGCTTTTCAGGTAGCTGCTCGTTTCTTTAACTGCAAACATGTTGTGTCTCACACTCAGAGCATGATCTCGGCCATCGTGAACAGCTCCTACTACGCCAACGTGTCCACCTCCAAATGCCAGGAGTTTGGACGCTGGTACAAGAGGTACAAACGCAGCAAAGGTAACCTCTACACTCGGACTGAGTTGTGTTGAAAAAGGTGAAGCTGTTTTTAATTAATTTAATGTTCCAATGATCCTCGAACGCATCGTGTCTCTGGGAATAAATCACTTTATTCTACAGGTTTCATTTTTAAAAATCTGCCAAAAATAAAACCCTCAGCTCGAACCAGCTTCTGTTGAAGTTGTCAGTGACTCAGCAGTCACAGGAAAAATACATGAATTCAGGGATTTTTTTGTTTGGCTGAACTGCAGGATGTGTAGTATGAAGGAAACTGCCCCGCAGGGATATTTAATAAAAAATCTTTGACGTAAATATACAAAAATAAAACGGTGGGACACTGACGATGTTCCACTTCTGGACTCGGCCTTCAATACAGGAGTCATAAAACTTCACATTATTTGCTTAAAGGAAATAAATAACTCAATAAATTCAACTCAGTTTTTCTGCTGCTGCTGCTTGTTTGTTGCTTGTTTCTTCTGACATGTCGTACAAAAAGTGAGATTTTTGTAAAATAAGCAGTTAAATTAAGTCCTCTCTCCTCCTTCATCTGTTTCCTGGGAGCTGCAGGACTTTGTGTTGCATGAAAAAGTGAGGAAACAGGAGACAGGAGCAAGTACACGTCTAGAAACTGGCTGGAGTTCAGCTGCTTGTGGGACCAAAACTTTGTCTTTGCGTCCAGAAACTGCCCCCGAGAACGACGCCGGCGCTGAAGTGCTGCAGCGTTGCAGCTCGGCGGGAGTCGAGTCGGCGTTTTTCTGATTACGGAGCGATGTTTGTGCATATATTTGCCGGCTGTCAGAGACAACAGCATGCAAAGAGTAATCGGACCGCGCTGTCGCTAATTAGCTGCAGGTTGTGAGCTCTCGCACACGTCACGACGTCTCGGTTTGAAGCAGTTTCTCGCTGAATCCAGCTCGTGGTGTTCGGCTAATGGACGTCTGCTAGTTGAGCCTTCATCAGGTTCAGTGAAAGCAGAAGAACAATGATCACCAGCTATCTTATGAAGTGGCTGAATAATGGTGTAGCTGCTTCACAAACAAACCTGAAGCTGTGGTTTCTGATATTCTGCTCAAAGCTTGTTGTGTTAATAATAAACTAAAGCTCTCACACATAGCTGGCTCTCATTCATCACCACCGCCAGCAGGAGACGGACGTAGTTTTGTCCCTCATGAGATAAAAGTCGAGTTTATTTAAAGGTTTATTAACTTTTAAGCTGCGTCCATCAAAAAAACCACCTCAGGAGAGTTAAGACCTGCAGAAGTCGCTGAATTCTGCTCACGTGACTGTCGGTCGCAGCCGGGTCGGTCAGAACTTCATGGTTTTGTGAAGGAGTGCAGAATTTTTTCTTTTTTGCAAAATCTTATCAGCATTCGTGATATTTCTGCGCTGATAATATTTCGTTTAGATTGTTGGATTTAAATGAGTGTCCACACCCGCCTCGTCTCTGCTCTGTGTGAACTCTTCCTGCAGTTCAGCTGAAAAGTCTCTGAATGTTTGTCACACTGAGCCGCTCATCGCTTCACAAAAACTTTAATTATTTGTAGTTAGCTGTAGAATTGCATCCATGGTCGCAGCTAAGGAGCAGAATATTCATTATTTTGTTTTAGTTTATAAGCGGTCTTTCTCCAGGAAAAGTCTGAATTTTAGTCACGTGACCGTCGGTCCCAGATGGGTCACTGATTGAAACGAGGAGTGCAGAACTTCTTATCGAACCGGGCCAGAGCAAATGGATTACGTTTGGTGAATTTTTAAAGAGGACATGAAATCACGATTTTAAGCTCAGATTTGTAAACGCTCGTGACAAAATGAAAAGGTACACATGGTAGGTTCAAGGACCCTCAGAAAATCCAGCGACTCCTCCTGTTTATACAGTTTCTGGTTACTGGCCACATGACGAGCTTTAATAACCCACTGGTGGCCTTCAGGTGGTCAAAATGAAAAACTAAGGACATGGAGAAGAGGTGATGAGAGGCTCCAGATCATCACTGACTGGGTTTTACTCTGGTTTCTCTTGTTCAATCAGTCTTCAGCCTGCAGTCTGAAGCGTCCCTCCTCTGCCTTGTTAAAAACTTCAGCCGCCGACTGTTGAGCTGTTTAGACTTTATTTTCCTTCTGTTGCTTTGAAAACTCACGACTGTCAGACACTTTTTTTTTTTTCTCTCCCCCCCAAAATCTGACACTCACCGCTAGTCACACCTCGAGTTAATACAAGTCGGTGCCTCGCCGCCGTCGTCTCGTGATGCTTTTTAACGCGGCCTTTCCATTCTTCTGTCCACCCCCTGTATGTTGTGAACACGCGTCAGCCTTTATGTGTCCAATCTGCTGCATGAGACGTCTGTCAGCGCCGGCTCTCAGTAGGAAGGAACTGTCACACATGGTTCACATTAATGTCACCGTCGATACACATGACAAAACTAAATGCTCTTAGCTCCTAATGGAAAGCAGCAGTAACCCCCCGACGCACACGCTCGCCACCAAACCCAGCAGTCAGAGCTCTTCTTACTTATTCCACACGCAGGGAAGGTAAAAACCTGACGCGCTGCCAAACCTCACTGCAACTTTTACTCCCCTAATAACTGAAAATGTGACTCGCAACCGAACCCAGCAGAAGCCTAATAAGAAGCAGGTTTACGTGGAGAGGCTGCCGGAGTAAAGATCTGATCATAAAAGTGAGATCAGAAACCTACCTGTGTGTCGGGAAAGCAGAAAGCCCACAGCACGGATGTAGAGATTTTAATTTCTCTCATTACAGACGTCCACAGTGAAACACCGTCTGATTTAAATGAGCCGTCCTCCGTCCACGTCTCACTGCAGGATGAAGTCCTGCAGCTCCTGCAGCACTCACAATGCCATATTTAAAATAAAAACCCAGAGCGGAGTCTCTTCCCATATTTATTTATGCACAAAAACAGAAAAGCACAGAATCAACACGTGCATTATTTTCCCCCAGATGTTATCTCTACTGGAGATAAGTTTTAGTTAGATGAGTTTTTCACAGAATCTGATTCGAGCAAATAGTTTGTTTTTTGGCTTTTTTTTTTTTTTAAGGTGAGACATGCAGCACAAGATTATTTTTCATGAAATTTCACAATTTCAGGGTTAAATTTGGTGAAGTTTTGTTTCGCCCAAAGCTGAATATTCCCTGAATGAGGAGCACAGCGGTTTATTATTGGAACATCTTTAAAAATAACAGGATTTTGTTGATTATTAAGTTTTCTGACGGAACCACAGATGAGTCGCTCAGAGAGTTTTTACGGTTTCCGGCTCTGATAAATGGTGACGTTCATGCAGGAGTGACCGACCGACTCTGTTCTCATTCAGGTGAATACATGGAGAAGATGTGGTCGTCGCAGGAGAAGTCGGACATAAAAGGTACGTCCATCTTTTGCTGGTGTTTTTTAGTGACGTCTGTCACCAAGTTAAAGCAAATTCAACTTTTCCACTTCCTGCCCAGTTTTAAGCTAAATTCTGGCCACAGTACAACCATACGAGAGAGGAACGCTCCGTCGTTTGGTTAGTTTTGTAGATTTGAAACAGCGAGTGTGACGCTTTTGTATGTCGGTGAAGTTGTGCCAAGTGTCCACCACGAGAACATTTGTTGTTTCAGAGCATCAGGGCGTCTGTCAAGTGACAACCGTGACTGAGGAGAGAACGAACAATCTGAGAAATGATTGAGGGTGTACGCTTTAACTCGTCTTCATCCTCGTTTCCTGTCTGCTCGGTGTGAACGCTGGCTGCAGCTCAGCCTAGAAGTTCCTTAAATCTTTGTCTCGTGACTGTTGGAGTGCAGAATACTTTCTTTCCTCACAAACCAATTTTCTGGGTGATTTTTTATTTTTATTTTTTAAAGCTTGGATTTGGTTTGGTTTATGTTTCTGAGTGAACACACGAGTAGTTCAAGGACTGTTGGTGTATTTGACCCAATAAGCAGTTTTTCTTCTCTAAATAGTGCAAACTGGAAGCGCAGCGATAGAGTTTATGTCCACCTGGAAGTGTGATTGAACAAACGAGCCTGTGTGTTTGTGTTTGGACACAGTGGAGCGGGATTTGGACCTGAGCGTCCTCGGCCATCGTCCTCCGTCCATGCTGCCCTCTCCGACCCACCTGGGCCCCCTGGGCGGCCCCGGAGCTCTTCCCATCAAGAGTGGTCTGGGGGAGGCCCAGCCCCCCACCCAGCCTCCCGGCCTGCCCCACCCCGCCGGCCAGAACCACCCCAGCCCTCCTCTGCGCCCCCAAGCTCCGGCCCTGCTGGGCCACGGCGGGCTCCTGTCGCCTCAGCTCGCCCCCCAGCTCGTACGCCAGCAGCTGGCCATGGCCCACCTGATCAACCAGCAGCTGGCCGTCAGCCGCCTGCTCGCCCACCAGCACCCGCAGGGCGTCAACCAGCAGTTCCTCAACCACCCGCCCATCTCGCGCGCCTGTAAGATCGGCGGCGGCGGCGCCACCGAGCCCGGCCTCAGCTGCTCCGGGGCCGAGGTCTCCTCCGACATTTACCAGCAGGTCAGGAACGAGCTGAAGAGGGCCAGCGTGTCGCAGGCCGTGTTCGCCCGAGTGGCTTTCAACCGCACACAGGTACTGTCGGCGGCAAACCTGGAGGTCATTACGAACCTCCGTCAGCGAGACAGTGAGTGTGTGAATGTGCGTCCTGCAGGGCCTGCTGTCGGAGATCCTGCGTAAGGAGGAGGACCCTCGCTCGGCCTCGCAGTCGCTGCTGGTCAACCTGAAGGCCATGCAGAACTTCCTGAACCTGCCCGAGTCGGAGCGAGATCGCATCTACCAGGAGGAGCGCGAGAGGAGCACCAGCACCAACCACAACCACTCCGGCAACCACATCTCCAGCCCCAACACCTACCGCCACGCCCAGGTACGCCAGCCTCCGCCCACACACCAGCCAACCGTACGTGCAAACTGGAAGGAAAAATGTCTGTGATTACGATAAGGTTGCAACGTAAAGTCCTGCAGCTCTGTGGAGAGAGAACTCCAAATGTTGAAAAAGAACTTGAATCAAACATTTTCCAAGTGTTGACACATGATAGAAACACTGTGAAGAAATGAGGTGGCACAACAGATGATATTCTTTATTCGTCTCCTCTCTGCTCTGCCTGCAGTTCAGCCCAATAGTCTCTGAATTTCTCAGTTGCACCAAAAAATTTATTGAATATTTTACATTTTTGGCAAGTTTTTAAATCAGACCTGCAGAATAAAGTGATCCTGATGAAGTGTCATGACTCTGGAGAACAAATTATTTAGTTTTTGTTCGCAGAGCGTTTTTTAAATGATACGTTTAAAACGAAGCGATTTTAATTAAATTCCCTGATTTACTGACGACAGGTGAGTAGTTCAAGGACCGTCGGAAACTTGAAAACCCAGTGATTCTTTCTGTCTTTAGAGTTTCTTGCTTTTTTTTAATTTTTCAAGAATAACATGCAGCACAAGTTTTAGAGTTTCAGACGCTTCATGAACGTGATCAAAAGGTCCTAAAAGTTTTACCGTATTTATAGAAGTTCTGCGCGACAGAAGGTTGGAAAACTGTGTGTTCTTCTACCAGATGAATCCAGGTGCAGGGAGCTCCAGGGTCAAAGGGGTCAAACACTTTCTTCTCACCTGTATCTCACCTGTATGTGATCAGTAAACCAAGCCTGTGTGTGTTGCGCGCTCTGTGCAGACCAAATGCAGCATGCCTGGGCCTGAGCTGCAGCTGAAGCTCGACTCGCTGGTGAGCATCACGTCAGGCATCTACGAGGAGATCCAGCAGGAGATGAAGAGGGCCAAGGTGTCCCAGGCGCTGTTCGCCAAGGTGGCCGCCAACAAGAGTCAGGTCAGTCCACAGAAACACGCAACACTGATACCGAGCTGCAGGTCAGGGAGCTTCTCCTCAAAGTCCACGTAGCCGCAGAAAACACTCAACCTGTTAGAAACACCACGCTGGTTCACAGTTTGCAGCATCTCACAAACAATGCAGGAGACTGACATCGAAGCCGAGTCTGGCTCTGCACGGTTTTAAACCACTTCACGTGTCTGCCGGCGGCGGCGCGCTGCCTTCATGCAGCTAGTTTGAGTCGGAGGTCTAAACGTGCGAGAGAGATGCTGAATGCGCTGAAGGGGAAGGGATGAGGACACCAGGAGGAGCAGGAGGAAGCAAGACGGAGAAGACAGACAAGACGACGGAGCCGTGATCACATTATTACGAGTAATTTCCAGGCTGAAGGCTGCGTATAAACAACAGCTGGTGGCAGATCCTGGGTCAGCCTAGCAGAGATAATGCAATCTCCACAGTCGCAGACACTCGCTGCTCCTCTCACGTTCTCCTTCTCATTTCTCTCTCGGCTCTGAGGGACCGAGCGAACACAAATAAACTGTGTGTTTATTTTATAACCGAACTGAGCTTCTTTCCCAAAACACAGCTGATGTTTCCTTTTCAGAAATAAACTAGCGTCAGACCAAAACAGAGAAAAGCGCTTCCATCGTCGACACGTCGACTTGGACCCTCCGAGCAGCAGCTTCTGGGTCGTTTCTGCTCCTTTCACTCACTGTGGCTCATTCAATATAAAATCCTGCACCGGAATGGAAACGACACGAAGAAGGAGAGAGAAGTGGTCTAGCTACTGCACAGAGGAGGTGCTGGTCGGAGTAATGACTGAAGAAAAAAGCAGTAACGGAAAACCCTGAAATCTGAACATGAAAACCGGCAAAGTTGCACCATCAGAGCCAGAAGCTGAAAACCGGAAGAATCGTCACATTTTCAACTTGACTGACTGAAACTTCACAAGCTGAGCCTATTAGCTGTGATAAATCACTTTGTTCTGCGCATCACATTTTAAAAACTGTCCAAAAATACATCGTCGGCACCAACAAGGTTCATGAAAAACAAAAACTTCCCGATGCAGCCGTGACAAAACTTCTATTTTCAGGTGAACTGCGCGAAGGAGTTTGGAAATAAATGATCTCACTTAAATAATGCTTCTCTAAATTATAATATCATAATAACACTCATATGTCACGTCCTGTTCTGTTGGAAAACTTTACCAAATTTAAGCTTAAAATCAGAATTTGTAATCAAAAACTCTTAAAGCACTTTGTCCAACCAGAGTTGGCAAAACAAAAACTTAAATTCTGTCGTCCTTCAGCAGAACCGTGACGTCGTGACTCAGCCAACATTGATTCGACTGAACTGCAGGCAGTGTTTCGATGGAGCAGAGATTAGACAAGTTTGGAAACTCGTCGCCAACGTAAGCAGTGAAGTATGTCGAGTATGTGGAGCCACCAGATGTCTCCGGTGTCGGTTCCACCCGCGGACACTTGGGAACATGTTGGACACTTTTTGTAAAATCACGAATGAAATAAATTCAACTTTGTCTGTTTTCATGAGTTCTGACTTCAGAGCGTGGTCGTCCTGACTTCTCTCTCCTCCTTCGTGGTTGTTCTGTGGAGCTGCAGGACTTCACAAATAAAAACAGCCAGAAGCTGCTGGAATTAAAGGGAGCCGAGGAACTAAGACGAGGCCTTTCAGACCGTTCAGCATTAGACAAAAAAGACTCCCAAAATACAATTATTAACCTGGAAATATAAACCACTAAACCCGGCTTCTAATGTTTCTGTGCACGCGGACCAACAAGCTGCATGAAACCCAAGAAGTGGTTCTGTAGTTTTTAAACTGTTCCTCCCGAGCTGCTCATGCTGCGCCACATGCCGTCTCTTCGGTCTCTGCTGGGTCAGACTTGCTGCTTGTGTTTTGCAGGGTTGGCTCTGTGAGCTGCTCAGGTGGAAGGAGAGCCCGAGCCCCGAGAACCGAACGCTGTGGGAGAACCTGTGCACCATCCGGAGGTTCCTGTCGCTGCCGCAGGCCGACCGGGACCAGGTCTACGAGGAGGAGTCGAGGCAGCAGCACAGCGAGCGGCTGCACACCGTCCTGCACATCCCCGACCAGCAGGTAGCAACCGTTGGCCGCAGCTTAAGATCTGACCTGGGGGGGGCGCCGCTGTAGCTCACCTGGCTGAGCTGGTGTACACGGGTCGTAGTCCATGATGCGGAGGTCATGGGTTCAAATCCCGCTCATGGCCCGGTTCCTTCCTCCATTCTTCTCCCCACTTTCCTGTCAGTCTCTCAAGCTGCACCATCACATCAAGGCAAAAAGGCCCCAAAGAATAAAATCAGACTTGGGGGGAGAAAATAAATAAATCAGCGTGATTTTTATAAATACACAACCAGTGGCCGCCGCAGCCAGCCATGTGTAGGCAAACGACACAAATCAAAGTGTTTTACGAGTGAGAAAATGGGAAAAGCAGCGTGTGGGGAAAAAGTTTCCTCTGTCTGATCCCACCACCTGCTCCTCTTTGTCATGTTTGTGTCCCATAAGTCATTGAAAATAGAAGTGGTAAATGACCGGCCCACACATTTCCTGCTAAACACTCCTCCATCCCACCCTCTCCCCAAAACCAGAATGCTCTCCCGTCTGGCCCTGACCTCAATATTATTCAGAACATAGCCTGTAATTATTGAAGCAGAGAAAAAGGAATTGCCATTATCTTTATTTAGGTCCTTTAATTTTGATGGACCACAGATTTATGGTGTTGGATTCCTGTGTTTGGGTGTGCTGGCCACCCCGCCCTGTTAATAGGCTGGAGTAGCGCGCTTGTTTGTGTGATGGATTTGGGAGTCGAGCTGCATGTTGGCGGCTGATGGAAGCCGGCCGATCACACTTCCGCTGGTCGTCCGTTAGCTTTGATGACTCTGCAGGAGGAGTTGGAGGACGAAGGGTGTCTGCACTCGCTGGAGTGGAAAGACAGGAAAATAAACGGAGCAGTTTGTGGAAGCTGCTGCTGCGTTTTTCCTCACCGTTGGCTCTTTTTTCTGTTTGTTTTTTCTACTGAAACATGAAGTCCTGCAGCTCTATGGAAACAAAACAACCATGAAGAAAGAGGCAGAAGTCAGAAATTAAAGCTAAAAAAGAAGAATTTCCAGAGACGTTACACACTGCAGATATTTTACTACTCGCATTTTTTTTATTCTGATCTTGTCTCCTGAACACTGCCTGCAGTTCAGCCGAAATTCCCAGAATTTTTATTGCATGACTGTTGGTCGAAGTCAAGTCAGTTACGGCTTCACGGTTGCGCTGAGAAACACAGAATTTTTATTTATTCACTGAATCTGGTAAAAGTTAGACGTTTATTTTTATCGATTTTTTTTTTATTTGATTTTTTTTTAAACGACATGTCAAATAAAGTGATTTTGATTCGTGTTTGCGATGAAACGGCACGTCACAGATGAGTAGTTCAAGGACCAGCTGAGAGTTTCTACAGTTTCTGGCTGAGATAAAATGATGATGATGTCTTCTGAACCAACAGCTTTTGGGGTTGAGCCGGTTACATACACAGAATAACGGGTTTAATCTACTCAGCTGTAAACGGGCGAAAACGACCATTTCAGCTAAAAGTAGAATTAAAAGAACAGATTGATTTAATGAACAAAGCAAATTTAAATGAACTGTGACACACGTGTAAATAAAAACCAGCAGCAGCTCTTCGGCCGTGTTGCTCCACTAAAAACTTAAATAAATAATCCACCTCAGATGAATAATGCTAAATGTTTAAATATATGTCTTTGGGTTTGTTTACACTTTAGTTCTTCATTGACTGAAAACATGCACGAAGAATCCAGCAGCTGAGTCTGATTTGTTGGTTTGTTGTTTGGATCTTAATGTCAGTGTTGGTTCGTTTAGTGGATTTATGACATCAGAACTTCAACCGGACAGAGGACATATGTGAGTTTTCTCTCGCCGTGGTCGTTCCGTAGATCTGCAGGACTTCGGAAGCTGCTTCAGAGACCTTTAACCGTTTGCTGACTTGTTCTTCTGTCTCCTGAAACAGAGCCTCCACAGACAGCCGCCGCCTCCTCTCACGGCGCCGTCTCCGGTCCACGAGGACCCCCAGCCCGTCCCGCTGCCCGTCCTGCAGGCCTCCGACGACGGACACCAGCACGTGAGCGCCGGCCTCGGAGGCGCCAAGAAGGCCCGGTCGCGGACGCGGATTTCCCTGGAGGCCCTGGGAATCCTGCAGAGCTTCATCGGGGACGTGGGGCTCTACCCCGACCAGGAGGCCATCCACACCCTGTCGGCCCAGCTGGACCTGCCCAAGCACACCATCGTCAAGTTCTTCCAGAACCAGCGCTACAACGTCAAGCACCACAGCCAGGCCAGGGAGGCCGGCCCGGAGGACGACCGGGAGAGCTGCAGCCCCAGCGAGGCCGGTCCGACGGAGAGCCGAGGGGAGGAGGCCCTGTCTGCGTCCGAGGAGTCCAGCGAGGACGGGAGGAGGTCGGTGGAGGTGCTGAGAACGGAAGGAGAAGAAATGGAGGTGGAGAAGGAGGAGGGGGATGATGGGAAAGCCTCGGGACCGGCGACGTCGTCTCTGTCGCCCTACAGCAGCGTGGACAGCCCTCACTCTGCAGAGCAGCAGAGATAACAGCAGCAACGCGCCGTCAAACTGTGAAGACACACTTACATTGTTGTTAGCAGAGCTGAAGCTCAGAGCTCTTTAATATCTGAGCAACTGTGGAGGAATATTTATTTACCTGCAGTTATTACCAGTGTTTTTGGTTGGATGATGCCTCCAGACAGTATTTGGGACGATATTTCTAACAAAAAAAACTCATTTCCTCTTTAGTCGTTTGTCTTTCCTCCGAGTTGCGTCTTCTCTAAAACACAGAAATGGAAGTCTTGGGTTTCCACTCACCTCCAGAACCTGTTTGCCGCCCAGCTCAGATTCTACAAGTGAAACAGCTTTCTTTGTTATTTATGTTCAAAAACAGAAGTGCCACGCGACAAACTGGTGCACATGTACTGAACAAAAACAGAAACGCAGCATCACTGAAGCTCTTATTAATGACGGAGTAGAGCAGAACTCAGAGCGTTAGCGACATTAATGACGGTGGAGTCTAGACTCTGCCTGAATGACTCGGTGAAGTTGTCGGACCAGAGCCGATGTTTGGGTCTGGACGGGAACGTTCTCAGCTGCTGCTACAGATTCTTGTCTGGTTAAAATGTCAAGTGATGGCGGCGAATAAACAGGATTTCATCTCTGCTGTTGGGCATCGAGGTGCCGAGGTAGTCTTTGTTCAGCTCTACGTGTGACGTCCACGTAGCAGAGACGGCGTTTGCCATCTGCTCTGATTGGCTGAAAACGAGAACCATCAATCAGAAGGAGCGTCCTCCGCCTCGCTCGTGTCCGACAAACGTTCTGCTGTCAGGTCAAGGCCTTTCTAAAGCGGCTTCCTGTTCCCAGTTTGAGCAGATATTCAACACCAGTGTCGCCGTCAGAGGACACGCGGTGGAGTCGAGGACATCCACGCTGAGATTCCAGCAGCCAACAACCCGTTTTTTTTTTTGTTTTTTTTTATAAAGTCGTTTGCCTTTTGTCTGTCTGATCACCTGACGAGGTCGTTAGTTGTCACACGTTGAAGAATCGAAAAACTGTTTGTGCACCGTTGGCACACTTTTCTCGCTATAAAAATTAGATTCTCCGAGTCGGAATAGATCTCCACTCACCTGCTGCGTTTCTGTTCAGTGTCCTGATTACATGCAAGTTGTCACCCGAAGTCCTGCAAAGACATTCAAGGTCATAAATTAAAATATAAATAAATACATCCGAATCCCGCCTCTCTTCCTGTATGTCCTGACCTGAGCCACTGGTCCCATCAATAAAAGCCCAAGATAAGTTTTTTTGTTTGTTTTGTTGACAGATCGCAGCCAGAGATGGAAACACATCTTGCTCAGGTGGGATGGAGTTATTTTGGGACGAGGATAAAAGACAGACAAAGATCCTCACCTTTTATGATGATGTCAGTTTAACGTTCAAATAGAAAAAACGATGTCTGTCTCCTTCCCATGATGCTTCAGGAGGTTCCTACGTTGACTTTGTCAGCCCCACACTCCCGTTGGTATTTATTAGTAGCTTTATATTTACTGAAGTCTAAATATCATTGTTGTAATTATGATTTTGTCATTATTTTCTTTGGTATGAACACAGAAGTCTTTGTAAATGTGACTGAAAAAGGACAAGGAGAGGAAGAAGAGTTTGAACTTTCATTTGCAAATTGTGCAGCAGAAGCGTTTTCGAGAAGACGTTTCTGTCCACGATGATGTCGATGCTGACAGAAGTGAAGCTGTCATCAGATCCAGGATGCAACCACTGTCACGTTACACTGTTTTGTGTCATTTGCGCCACAAAGGACGGGTTTTGACACCGTCCTGGACGGAGCGCACCAAGCCTCTGATTTGTTCCACGTCGATGTTCTTTGATTCTGTTGTTTGCAGGACGATGAAAATCTGATAAAAGTTTTCCAAAGTATTGTCTGTGTGGGGAGTTTCCTGGTGAAAGCTGATCTCGGTGTGCGATGAAGCAAATCTTCCTCCGTTTGTTGGCACAGGTGCTGCCCAAAAATCCCCTATTAATCCCATAAATACTCCAGATAAACTGGATGAAAATACACACCCGTAAGAAGAAAAGTGTGCAAAAGCTGGCAACAGAATAGTTGTCATTCCTCTCTTCATCCAAAGCCCTCGCATACCATAACTGTGGCCACAAGCATTATAAAAAGAGCAGCTGTCAAATGCAAACACAAAATGCACAGTCCTTCGCAGCCTAACCACAGACACATGAGTGTAAAAACAGCTGCTGTAAACTGCAAAATATAAAGTGTACAATGCAATTAGATGGGTGGGGGGCACAGACTTCTTCTCAGCGTCTTTAAATCTCCTATACGACACACATTTTAACTCCCGATCGCCGTGGAGTAAAAATATCAGACACAAATGGAGAAGCATGTTAGCGCGATGCTACGTGAGTGAATTCCTCTAAAAAGCTGCTGATTTTTTCCTCTAACTTACATCCAAACAGTTTGTTAGTCAGGAGAAAAAAACAACAACAAATGTGGCAGAATTTTCTTGTTCAAGCTAAAATTTACGAATCTAATGGAATTTGCGTTGGTGCCCAGCTCAGTGCGATCACTTTTAAACGTGCAGCCGTCCGACGGGCTCACATCCGTCACACGCTCCACGATGATATGTGCAGATATGGGTGCACAGTCGTTCTCTCTGGGAATCATTAAACGGATTAATTTACGAGTCGTGCTAACTCTGCGCAGCCTCGTGTCGTCTTCACTTGCCAGGACACCTGATAACAATTAGAATCTACCGAGCCACTGCCATGTGTGAGAGGCAAGCAAGTCCGCCTCGTCTTGTTCGTATCTCCATCTGTCAGCCTCCCATGCTCAGCTTTAGGCCAACACTTGCTGATGCTCTGCATGACGACGCTGTTTTCATGAACACAGCAGCTAAAGGAACAAGTGTAGCTTCAATCAGGGCTTCTGTTCTCACTGACGGGGATTTTTTTAATGTCTGGCCACATGTGAAAACAAAAGATCTCTATGTTCCTCAGTGCTTCTGCAGAAGGAGTTCTTCTTTGGGTTCTCCAGGTGTTTTGTTCAACTGCCTGGTGGGGAGGTCTTTACTCTCATAGGATTTAATGGTGTTGAAACTGCCTGGGGAGGGGTCTGCATCGTGCCTGGTCAGTGGTACTGACTAAACTCTGTCACGTAACAGCTCCAGATTAGCCTCCCATTTATATTTATGAGTAGCTGTAGATTTACTGGAAACTGGGCACACTGTTGTAACTTTAATTTCTACTATTGTGTTCTTTTGTCTGAAGACAAACGCCTTTGTAAATGTGACCAAAAGAAAAAGAAAGAAATTTCATTTACAATGCCAGCAAAATGAATATCAAATGGTTTTCTATCTAAACCTGCCCGATCACTGGAGCTGTGCATCGGTTTCAGATGGAGTCATGGGAGGTGGGGGTGAGAGTAAATACCTGGTCGCCCCAACAGTCAGTTTGAACTGCAGAAGCCTCTCAGATGACTCATTTTGAAGAACCAAAAAGAAGTCGAGGTCATGTCTACCAACGCAGCTAAAATCAAAATAAAACTCCAAGTATTTATTCTTAGTCCCAACTCAAGATGATTCAATCTGAGTTTACACGTAGACAGGTGTTTACAAAAACGGATCTCCGTTTTCAGAAATAACATCGTTCACAGCAGATCGTTTTCAAAAAATGTACACAAACCACCTCGTTTACACGTCGTTCAGAGCTGCAGTGAGCTGCCAGACCTGTAGGGGGCAGTGTGACGAGAACATATGACACATATGACGCTGATGACGCCTTTGTCGCACACTGTCACGTCTCCTCCTGTCTGCATGCAAACGTAAAGACGGAGTTTTTTGTAATCTCCACGTTGGCCGGAGTTTTCAGATAGATTCAGTGACTTGTAGATTCGTTTCCGTGTAAACCAAATATCAGCGTTTCTGCTGCGTGTAAACGAGGCCTGAAACTGGCCTATGACACCACTTATCAGACACTTACTATGCAGTCCTGAGATCCCCTCGCCGGCAGTTTCACCACGACTCACACCTTGAAAGCTAATAAGTCTTCTCAGGAAGCTCTGAGGATGAACATTACCTGGATGAGCACAACTCGGCAGACATGACAGCAGTGAGTCCACGAGCCCAGTGTTGCTAAAAAAAAGTTAAAGAAAGCTGAATCCAAAGCGTGACATATCCTTTGTGTGTGTGTTTGTTGTTCCGTGTTCATCGGTTGTTTGGAGTGCGATGAGAACTAATTGGAGATCACAGTTAACTCACATCTAATATTACAACTGCATCAGTGAGTGTCGGCACGGTCCACCGGTTTCCTGCTCGCACAGCTGGCTATTAGAGCCGTATGGCAGGCCGACGCCAGGCCATTAGAGGTGTGTGTGTGTGTGTGTGTGTGTGTGTGCTGTGGGACGAGGACGCAGGTGCTCCGCGGGCTGATATTACCCAGGATGCTCGGGGTGGGGGGCGTCGGGGTTACGGGGGGAAGGAGGCTCTCTGCGGAGCGGCAAACACACCTGTGATCCCCTGCTAGCACGCTCACACACTGCAGCGCGTTAATACACACTCTGATAAACAGGCTAATACTCGCAGCGGCAGCACTTTACACGCCATTGAACGCAGCACACGGTAATCAGCGAAGCCAACACGTGGCTCCGTGTGTGATGTTTTGGAGACTCCTGTGTGCGTCGCATTTCATGTATGCAACAAATAGGGTACATTAGGCAGAGCTAATGTGTGTGTGTGTGTGTGTGTGTGTGTGAACAGAAAGGGCAAAGCTAAGCATAAAAATGGCATCTGTTATGTTTGGCATCTGAAACGTTTCACCTATATTTTCTCAGCCACTGACTCAGAAGTGGAAATGAAGGTGAGTTTTAGTGACAGTCCAACTAAGTTTCTTGCATTTGCTGAGCCTGACTGCTGCATGTGGGTTGTATGACGTTATGGATGACCTGCAGGCTCAGTGTATGCAGATACAAACATACACTGAAGACCATGTGTATCATGACAGTCTTACGTTTCCAATGACAGCTCATTTATGTAATTTTCATTTCTGTCGTCACTGGAACACGTGCATTTTGGTTCTGTCATAGATTTATTAAAGGTCTTCTGGAAATTAGACAAAATCTGCTGGGTCAAAAAAACACATACATCAACTTGAAATATCAATTTTGGTGATGTACAAAGTTGTGTTAAGTTTTCTTAGTGGCCTCCTAACGTCTCCTGAGTGGTTCTGATGGACTCCAGCTGCTGACTGCTCAGATCCAGTTTAAACAGAACCATCTGATCCACTCATT